ATATTTACAGTGGACCCGCTCACTCGAGCACATTCTAGGTAATTCAAATAAATACATTTTCATATGATCACATCCATACATGTTTTTCCCCATGTGTTGTATTGTATTAGTTACTATTGAGTGAAGCATAAGAAATGGTAGCAGCTGTACTTGAACCAGCCATACTTGGTTGACGACAGAGTAAATCTTGCCTACAATGTTTTTTTAAAAATCTTTATTTGAATTGGGAGAGTGCACATTAATCAACATGTGTTTTTTCAACATGTAACTGTGCCAGAGTAAGCCATGTCGGCTAATTTTCAACCGTAGTCCCATGGCAGGTTGAATGTGACACTTTATGAGAATCTGCCTGAAGCACTTTGTTGTAATTCAATCAATCAATCTTATTTATAAAGCACAATTCATGCAGTGCAACCTAAAGTGCTTTACAAAAGACATAAAATCACACACATACTGTATACAAACATTACAAAACAAATAAGGTAAAAAAAATAGAATACAGAAAAAAACACGAACAAACTAAATATCATAATTAAAAGTGTTACAAGCACCATATCTAAAACTCAAAGCGCACAGCTAAAAAAAACGGCTTTCAGATTTGACTTAACCAACGCTACAGATGAAAGCTCCCATACATCATTAGGAAGACTGTTCTAGCTTTTTTGGGCATAAACCTGAAACGCTGCCTCCCCAGGTTTTGTAAACACAACAAAACCTCAAACAAACAGTGAAAAGGTTATTTAATCTACTTAATATACTATAAACACTGTAACATCATGTAAATGTTAATGATAAAGTATAGAACACAGCACCCATGTGAAGATTACATTCTGATGTATTTGTTTTTTTGTAACTAAAACATTTTCATAATATTTCTCCATCACTGTCTCAAACTCCAGTAATTAGCACATATTTCATCTATTGCAAACTATTAAGAGTTCAAATGAGTCACTGCTTAATGATTTGGATGATGAGGAGTGCATGGCTGAGGAAGGGTGCTTCTCTTTCAAAAGGCTGTTTAAAAGTTGTGCTCAAGGCCAAGAAAACTGAAGAATGTGAAAACCAGTGATGTTTCTAAATGTTTTGTGAAACTCATGAACAAATTAAGACCAAAACATACTTCAGGAATCTTTGATAAATAGTAGTGCTCTTAAGTATCTATTGAATTCTGATTTGCTCACTTTATATTGCATACATAACGACCAATGTCTCTCGACCAATACATAATGACGTTATTGTCTCTGTACTGCACTTGACCCATCATTCCAATGTGACCATAGGGTGTCAAACTCATTACAGGTGTTCATTCCAACCCGAAGACTTGATGAAAAGGGTGGAGTCTGATGTGCTCCTGCTTGGTTGTAATGAAAAGCTGCAGCCAAATGACCCTTTCTAGAATGAGTTTGGCCCCCCCAGCGGACATGAGCGTCCCTAAAGAGCGGTGGTCTCTACAGTGCAGCACCTGTAGAGACCCATTTCCAGATGTTGATGCTTGTCCTTGTCCTTTGGTGCATGTTTAGTGGAGCGAGACACAGGGAGAAACATGTAAACTCCACACTATAAGGCCCAGGATTCAAACCCATGACCTTATTGCTGTGAGGCATGAGCACTGCCCACTCAGCCACTGTGATGCCACCTGGACAGTTTAGTTTTACTTGAAATGATTAAACTTATGCCATTACACTGCCCAACACCAAGTGATATGACGCACTTGTAACGTGTTTTAATTATTTTGTTTTTATAATATTTTAGCAACTTATTCATTATGTTGTTATTTATCTATTACCTGTGACTGTGAATGAGAGCAGCTGGCACCAATGTAAATCTCCTTCGGGATCAATAACATTTATTTGATCTGATCTTATCTCATCTAAATTCTTCAACTTTGTGTGTCTTTCACTCTACTTTTCCGTGACTCTCTGTGTCATTATTTTAGTAGTATTTTGTTTTTAGTTCCAAGTTATGACAAAGCACATGGAGATGCATCACATTTGATAAAAGGACACAAAATCAGATACAAGATTTTCTTATCTGTTCCAGGCTTTAGACATATATTGAGTGACAAGTGATTTTTTTGACAAGCTGTTGCAGATATGAGGCCACATTTTCAATAGAACTTAACAGATTGGCCCACGTACAACCCTCATGACTTTGTACTGAAGCAATCTTAAAGTACTCAAAGTTAGATATCCGCTGTTCTTTTATTGTCTGCACCTCCTCTTGTTGAGCACATTCCTGGGCAGTGGCAAAGATGGAAGACTTTGCTGGTTTAATATTGTGTTGGGTCGCGCAGAGCTAGATTCGTGTAGCAGAATAACAACAACCAAAGCGGAGTCTTGTTCGCTCTGATTGGAAAAGCAAACAACTACAGTATCCCCGTGTCCTGCTGGACGCTGGAAACACGCTGTGCAAAGTCGCTTTAGACAGATACAGTGTTAGAAGAAGAGGAATGTTCAGGCGAAACCCGTCTTTGTGTAATCCCTCATCTCTGCTTTTCCAACCCCCAATTACAAAGGGGAGAAAACGCCTTGCTTTTTCTTCACCCCGCCGAAATACATAGGCTCTACATCACAACTCAATTTGGTTTGGTAATGAGACTGCGCTCGTGCTGTTCCCCATGCAGACAGCCCAATCTTCAATAACCAGCACACGGGGGCTTTGCTTAGTGGGAAGGTTCTGAGGAAATAGACTGGTGAAAGTCTAGCCTTTTTTATCATTCAGAGAAAACTTGGTAGATCACCTTGTGCCATCGTTTGAAATGCCCTTGAATGTGAAATGTGTTAGTTCTGAGGACAACCCCCACACTTCCAAGGGCATGGATTTGATACTACATACAAAAAAAGATAGATAAACAAGACTTGCTTTTTAAACAGGGAATTGAAGAAACAAAGCTAGAAATAAAACGCCCAGGGTTTAAAAGCAGCTGAGCCCACTCACACATCTTAGACGCAGCACTGTATTCAACAAGCTGATTTTAACACCTACTATCTGGGACCTGACTCATATTTCTCATTTCAGAATCAAAATAGTAGTTAAGTTTAGTCTTGCAGTTATTGGCCTATTTTCTATATGTTCTGTGACTATTGAAATTGTGCCTTTGGAGTATAATAAAATAGCTGGGGTGTTTGTAAAGTTCAATTTTGGCCTGTGGCTCGATTACTCTCATTATAAGTGGGGACAATCTCTGCATATTGGAAATTCTAATTCCAAAATCTCCCTAGAATGTCTATGGAAAATAAGATAAAGATGAGTAGAGTGGAGGAGTTCATGGATGGGTTTTGACAGTTCCCCTTTCACAGCTCAGGCAAACTGCACTTATAAGGAAACATAATACATAATGTAATAACGTTTTTTTTTTTAAAAGGTCCAGGAGGAGTACATGTGAAATCCCTATGGTTAATTTAATCGTGTTGCAGCTTTACTTTGATAAGATAAGATCAGAAATGTACATGTCCCATTTGGCATAGATAGTATAACTCAGATTGTGCAAAAAGACATGAAGTGTGCAAACATGTTAAAGGTTAAAATATAGTCTAAATATGTATATGTGCAGGATATATTATATACAATAAAAAGTGGCAAAAAGTTTTAAGTGAAGTAAAGCTACTTCCCATATTCAGGAGTATGATGTATATGTATATATTACCACTATATGCCGTAGATTCCTAGACTATATAGCAGATTTCTATTCTTGGACATGATTATATTGCTTTGGGCAGAACTTATGATTTATGATGTTAAAAATAAGCAATCGCTCTTTATCCTCGTAATTTTCACCTTTTCACTGGAGTACCGTCAGACTTATGTGTTATACTGTATCTCTCACTGTCTAAAAACACCTTTCTCCTGTTGCTGCACGAGTTGATGTCAGCCCTCAGCTACAGGTCAAAGTTCGAAAGCACCTGCATTGCGCTCGTTCAACAATGCACTTCACCTCCTGGCTGCAGCCACCCACTCCCTACTTTATTTTGTCATATGCGTCAACACTCCTGAGGCAGCAATTATACCTTTCAATATGCAAAACATACCAAGCAAACAGTATACAATTAAATATGATAAACCTTATAACATATTTACAATTTACATTATAGTAAAATAAACTAAATACATTAAAACAAATGTATATAAAATAAAATGATACACAAATGGAAGGTTGCTATAAAATAGAGCCGCCAATGACAACATTTTGATAACTCTAAATTGCACTAGATTCATTGCCTTGATAAATTATACTATTTCTTATTTCTGTACCTATTGATGTAACAAATCCAATTAACTTCCCTGCTCAAATTAACTTCAGCGCCTGTTCTTTAGTCATTTATTTCAATTCATTTACAGGCATGGAAATCTCCTTGAAGCCTGCAGTAGGCAGTTAATTCAGCGCTCTCGCTATAGACATTTGGTTGGCCTCACTGTTGAAGTGTTTTAAATTGTATCCTTACCTCACGCTGCAGCTAATAGCGAGCATCTCTATCCGCCCAGCTTTGGGGTTAGGCATTTCACACACTGAGTCATTTTATGTATGTATGTTTGTAAGTTTTGCATTTACACATTTTTGAAACATTCTACATATGTTTGGTTTTTCCTAATCAAAAACAGACAGATTTAAACATGTTTTAGCTAAAAATGTAACTCCACCCTTTTCTGTCCAAATGCTCCTGTCCCTAACCTGAAATATTATAATCTACTAGAAAGTTTACATAAAACACATGTAGTGTCATTATCAAGTGAAATAACAAACTTTACAATTGCATGGCTATGTTTGCAGCTGGACATTTTCAAATATGAAAATCAATTCCTCCCTCTGGTGGAAGCATAGGGAGTTACAGCCGGAAAGTATTTTTTTTAACCCTTTATTCATAGTTTCACCATGTATTATTTACTTAAGACACTATTTCACATGATAAAACATGAACTGTATTAATATCATTTTTGATAGACACAAATACTGCATAATGATGTCTTCTTTAAAATGTTATGGTAAAGAAAATGGGACTTACGTAATCATCAAATGCTTCGTGTGTGGCGGGTATTAGTGGCGGTCTGTATGAGTTGCTCGCTGCTGCCCCTCTGGCTCGTGGAGGTTGTGCGTCTCTCGATATAACAGCTGTGGGGGGTTTGGAGTGCGTAGCTGCGGCTGAACCCCGGGGGGCCACAGCGTTCCTCGTCGAGCCTCTGTGGCCTCTGGCAAAACATCAAACATGAAGCACATTTGGCTCAAAATAGGTGTTGTGACAAATAAGTATATGTGCTGTGTGGTGATTGGGCTCTATTTCGGGGAGTTAAAAAAGAAAAAAAAGGTGTCGTTCTGCGAATACTCCCATTACACACAGCCTGGGTATTACGTACAAAGATAAGCCGAGGAAACTACTGTTAAAACATCTCCATATGCTTGAGGCTGCTTGAGGCTGCTTGAGGCTGCTTGAGGCTGCTTGAGGCTGTTTTAAGGCGACAGGCCAAACTTCACTGTTATGACAATGGTGAAGAAAATGACAGTTCTGTCAAAATGGTTCTTTTGAGATGAACTGTAAGCTTTGCAGGAATGATTCAAATCATTTATTGATAGAAGAAAGTGTCGATGAAAAAGTGCCCCTTGTGTTACAGAAGCTGCGCCTTGTTTGGTTGTTAGGGAATGACAAAACATTTTTCTGTACAAATGAAACAGATCAACTGATTATTTGATAATCACACAATATAACAAGTATGATTTGTGCAATATCAGTGTTCGTGCTTGTAGTTAAAGTGGTTCTCACCCCCGCTCCTCGGAGCTTACGTCACTCACATTTCCTGTTCAAATCTTCCTCTAAATGGGCGTAGCCTGGAGGACTAAAGGGGGCGTGAACGAGACTGGGCCGTTTACATTGCTCTGGGCGGGGGGCTGCTGACGTCAGGTCCAACTTGCAGACGTCAGGTCCAACTTCTGTGCGAGTGTTGGCGCCAGATTCAAAATTCAAATGTAGTAATACAGGTCGCCAGCAGATGGCGCCTCACAGACGGTTTTAGGCAGAAAGTCTAACTTTCAACTAATTTGCACCAAAGTGACAAGATTATGACCAGGATATGTAGACAACACTATTGGACACTCATTTATACCGTTTATCAGCAAACAAAAGTGGATTTGAGGGTGAGTTGTCCTTTAATACAGTTCCGAGGCAGGGACTACGGATGAAAACTAGCTTTGTAGCTATAATCCATAATATTTACATTTGTTTATACTGATGTTCATTAATATACATTGTCCCTATTAAATAAATAGATAAATAAATAAATAAATAGTGATATAGCACATCACTTCCAACTAACCTCATTCTTGAGAAAACTAATTTAAAAACACACTGTGGAATATTTCAGGCAAAATCATAACGCATTTATGGAAGCAAGCAGTTGTTAGACCCTAAAGTTACGAAGTGCCCTTTAAGAGTTTCTTTTGATACAACATAATCAGAGCATCATGAGAGGAAATATAAGCAACACTTTCTTAAAGTGTGTGTGCTCCCATGTTGAGGCAAGATTTAACTCGTCTCCATACGCTGTCTGAATTAGGCCAAGCTGCTGTGGCACGCTGTACTTGCTTATTCCTGTGAGGCCACCTAGGCTCAGAAAATAAAGAAAAAGAGAACAAAAACTTGTAAAGCCTGCTGAATGGAAATTGTTTTCGCACCCAAAACTCTGCCAATAAATGCTCCTCCTGTTTTTTGCTAGTACTGTCAGTGGCACAAATGTATTTATACTGTTCATTTATGAAAAGTACAGATGTCCATATAGTCTTAGACTAACTTGATTTTCTAGTTTAATTGCACATTTATAAAGGCCTTCACTAATGCTCTCCAAAGTTACTGTATTTCTGAACCTGAGACACGTATGAACGGAGAAATCCCAGAAGTGAACCTCTGCTGCTGCAGTAATGAGCAGTAAACTGAGCTGCATTGTCACGGCTGTCCACCTGCTCCATAGGCCACTGTCAAATCTATTGATCGCGTATGTGCTCCTGTGTGAGCATTACACTGTGGAGGTGTTCAGAATACAGCAGCGGCAGGATGAGAGTGAAAACACAAGACTGAAAGATCTCTAGGACAGCTTACAGACAGGAATGAAGACTCCTGTCGCTCTCTGGATGGCTGTTTGTTTCTGTATTTTTATTTTATTCATGGTGCAGCCGAAGTGTGAAATAGAACTGTGTTTGTGAGCCTAAAGTAAAGTATCTGTACTGGTGTTTTGGCTGTAAAGCTTTTGGGTTTAGTCCAGTTGATTTTCATGGGTTTTAGATTTCTATTATATATCATTGCAAACCCCAGGTTTAATTGTTTGGACCCATTTCACTCTAGCGATTGCTCGATTCTTTACAGCCGGATACAGTACAGTACAGTACAACTATGTTTTAAAGAGTCAGATCCAACAACTACATTATAATTAAATGCGATTTCCCTGCAGTGTAGAGGAGTGAGCGGTCAAAAGAAGCCCTCAGAGGATTGTGTAGTAGTAGGTTGTGTTGTACCTGTTTGTGGTGGCTGCTGGTCGTGTTCCTCTGCTCTGTGCACCCCTCCCTCTGCTCTCTTCGGAGCCGTTGAGCAGCGACAGCTCCCTCAGCTGCTCCTGTCTGATCTCGTCATTGTAGTCCTGTGGGAGACAAACAGCCTGTGCCATAAGAAACGCAACGCAACATTTGTCTCCTAATACAGCAGATGCTCCGGCAGCCGCAAATGTCATCAAATCAAAATTATCTCGACACACAGAGGCACACAGCATCCTGTAATGAAGAAGGCGCCAAAGGGTAAGGAGAACGCACAGAAGGTGAGCCAAAGCACTGTGTTTACCTATAGGGACTCTTCTGTCAACAACAGTCAATTATGGGACAATTCACAGGTACCAATTCATATATCTATATAAGCTGCTTTCTCCAATTAAGGTGCTTGTAAATGGAATGCTCTGCCTGATATTAAATGTGTTTCAACCCAGAGCTCATTTAAGACTAAACTTGTTGTTTAGGCTTTCTCAGGCAAGTCCCCTCGTCTCTTCATTGTCATTGTTTTTGTTACAATGTCCTCGTAAAGCACATTGAGTTGCAGTCATGTACAACTCTTATGTGTGTGTGTCTGTGTACATAATGTGTGTGTGAGTATGTGCGCATAAGTACATTGAATAAGGGTGAAAACTCATTGCTTTATTTATTTATTGTAAAAGGATTCTCAATCACTTGTCTTATATCCTCAACTTGTCATCTACATTATTTTCTTGTTATAAGACAAATATAATGTAATCAATAGAGTCTATTTAATCTTATCTTATGTTTTTTGTGCTTTGTCTGTACTCAAATTAATACATTCAAATTCAATTGGGGTGTGAAAAAAAGTCATATAAGTTTATGTTCTTTGTGTGTTTGTGGCATCAAATGATAGAGCTTTTATTCCTTTAATATCTAACACACATGATTTTTTCATGTGCTAAAATGTCCTTATTGTTGATGCACTGAGCCATGTACATATACATCTGTTTTGGGGTAAATTGCCCCTGCTCCATGTGCTATATAACTAAATTGTGTTTTATATATATATTTATGTATGAAACCAGACATCACAATGACTCCTAATGAATAAATGCGTGCACTTCCCACAGATTTAAGCCCCAATCACTTTTCTATTGAGGCAGTTTTACTTACAATAACAAGATGTTTTATTTTCAATAGCCTTGTAAAAGATGCCCAATCAATACATCTAATTATATCATATTGTTCACTTGGACCCGTAGGGCAGGTGATAAAACTTTAAGGCTTACGATAAAACATTTTCATTATGCCTGCTAGGTCTGACTATCACAGTCGTTTTAAACAATACGGTAGTGAAGTATATCTCACATTCACCAAACAAGACACGGATCATTTCTCTAGCAACAAGAGTGCACTGAAAGTCTTTTCTCTCGTCTCTGCTGACAGATCGACAGTTGTATTTCTCACAGATACGTGCGACAACATGGGACAGACGGCAACTCGATTCTCTTGTTTAGACATATGCTTTTTCCCAAATATATTTTTGGGCTTTGGCAAGTCAAGGCAAGTTTATAGCACAATTGATACACAGGGCGACTCACAAAACAAGCCAGGACACAATACACAATCATAAAGCAAGCAATATAATATAAAAATGGAGAGTTATTCATTTCAGCTGATTTAATCCTGTTAAAAAAACAGGATACAGCAGGATATATATTTACTTTTATCTATACATCTGTAGATAAATCTCTGATACACTCAAGAGCGAGAATATATTGAGGTTCAATCCAGGTTAAAAACAGCTGTGCACACAACTTTTCCCAAATGTGGGACGAATAAAGAATCTCGTGATCTAAATCTTAATTATGTAATTTGAGTCACAAAAGAAAAAAGAAAAAAACCAACAAATAATACAGAATTGTTCATGAGACAATATATATTAAACAATGCATTCTAAACATCTAGTACAGGGATTTCCAACATTTCTCACCCAGAGAAATACTTTTACAGAAATGGCAGAGAGCTATGCCCCTTTGAGGTCATAATAAAACTGTAGTCTCTATATACCATAAAGGAAACTTGCACACAACATACAGTATATAATTAAACTGAGGTTCTTTGTGATCCTGGTCTGTGAAAGGCGCTATGTAAATAAACTTACATTCTTAAATAGACTTGAGCTTATATGATGATTAAAATATTAAAAATGGAATAATTCTGAATCATGTGTTAAATTCCTGAATCCTTTGGGGAGCTATACCTGAGAGGGCGTGGGGAGTGTTGGGCCTTTCTAATTATTTTATATTTATTTACTTAAATAAACAACTTATGGAATTAAAATGTTTTGTGAATGACAACAATTCTCTCCCATATATAGCAACTAACCAAAACTTCCAATAATATATTGAGATCATTTGTTCAAGACTCTTTAAACATCAGCTTTCAACTCCACATTTCAACATAATAATAAGGCCATAGATATGTTATAAACATCTAAAACATCATTAAACTTCTGCAACTTATGGCTTTTCAAATAAGGAAGAAAAGAATCCCACACGACACCCTTGACAAGGTGTGCGACATCTTATCAGGATAACGGATGTTCATTAAATCTTTTCTTTTTCAGAGTTTTATGTGACAAAGTCTGGTCCTTTCAACTGACTTCATTGTCACATCTCTGGTGTTATAGCGGTGCCTCAGAGAGAAGCCTGATGAGGAAGAGATTTCAACAGCTTTGTGTCGTGAGGGAGAAAACTGGGCTCGTTTCCACATCATATGTCTGAGTGCATGCGTGCTGCTCTGTTTAATAAATGAGCGCCATCTCCGGCATTCTGTTGAGTTGTGGAAAACATAGAAGAGGTTTAATTGGAAAATCTGGTGTTGGCTTCTCTCAAAACAACACACGTCTGCGGGCTGCAAAGGTGGATTGACACTGGTGTTAACAAGAGCAGAGATAAGACCCCCCGGAGGCATCAGGGCACTGCTGTTTGTTCACTGGGACAAAGGAGGATTTTTGGGTCAATATCACAAAGATTCCTGGCCTTCATGGATAATACTGATTTTTGGGCTGTTTTGAATTTGAATAGTATTTTTTTCTTTTATAGTCCAGTTTGCATTGTAACCCATATATGTCCAAATTTACATTAACTTTATCAACGAACAAAAATATTCAAAATAACTACATCATTTCTATGTTTATTAATTATTGATGACAAAGACGTTTAAATAAATATAAACCTAAATATAAAATTATATAACATGAAAATAAACAAGATAAATTATACACCGTAGTGGTTTACTAATTATTTCTGTCTGTAACCACAATAATTCACATTCATTTCTCAACTATTTTTGGACTGAGAGAGTTGAGGCTGAAGTCGGACACTTTTTGTTTGGGCCAAATACTTTGAACAAATAAAAAAAAAACAAAAAAAAACAGCTCTTTATGAATGAAATTAGATTGATTGACGTGATGTGGCAAAATCTGTACGGCATCCAACTCTGAACAGAAAACATGATACAAATCACAAACACACAAGTGCATACAACGTGTTACATGTACACAATGTAGTCCCTGTGCGAGTCTGTTGGATTCAGCACAAATGGTATTATATTCCGTAGATCAATCCTAATAGCGTTGCCTGCGCCTATAACCGCACATAATCAATATTACATTAACAGCTAGAATAAAAATACAGCACTTGTACAGATCCTAGGTTGTGTTATTACGCTCAAACAGATATATCCCGTCTCTGATTGGCTGTAATTTGAACATGTTTTAGTGGTTGTCCTGGGAAATGAAATACACCGCTGCCCTTCATGACGCCTGAAGCACGACCACAATCTGCAGCAGCTGTTCTCTTCTCTTCTGTTTTCTAAATGTTACACACATCAACTACTGTATGTTCGGTGACAAGAATTTGTGAAAATGTTTCTGTAACAATTTATCTTACAAAATAAGAAGACACAGAATATTAGTCTCATTTTATCGTGAGTATAAAGACCCTTAGATTATTTTATTCATTTTTGTTCACAGAATTTCACTTATTTTCCCTTACAGTTTCCCGATAGATACGTCTGTGCTTGTAGTTGATATTTTAATAGTAAGAGAATATTTTGTGATGTGTACATGGCATGGCAAGGCAAGTTTATTTGTATAGCGCAATTCATACACAAGGAAACTGCTGAACAAAATAAGGTTAAAATGAAAGATGAAAATCCCTCAGTTGTATGCACAGCTAAACAGAACTGTTTTTAAGATTTAATCATTATAATAGAAGAGGCCTGTCTCACATTTTCGGGAAGATTGTTCCAGATTTTAGCAGCATGAACATGTGGTTTAGTCATGTGCTTGTTGCATGCAGCTGTGTGAATGATATAGGGTTTGACAGAGTGTTCTCCCTCTGGTTTCTCTACTTCTGCTATTCTTAACCTAACTTCTATCTAGCACCAATCCTGTGATCCACCTGGAATTTTATAGACACATCTTAACCTGGCCCGACACATATGGCATATTTCCATACTCATTTTTCCATATTCATGTGCCCTATCGCCCTCAAACATTGAGTCCTTAAAAAATATGAATCAATAATAAAAAAGACCTGTTGTAGACAGATTCGAAACAGACATTTGTCAGAAACATGAGGAAGACGAGAGGTCTTCACACTGTCACACAACTCTAGTTCTCGTTCTTTTATTCTGATTTATCGACATATAGGTCTCCTGACCTGTGCAGCGTGCTGTCACATCTCAGCGGTACAAGTGACGCACTGCTTTCCATTGAAATACATCTGATTTGGCTTTTTATTTACTGCCATCCCTCCCGGAATATAAGTCGAATTGTAATAAAAGCAGCATTTTGAAGCTTTAAATCCTCCGCTGTGTGTGTGTCTGTGGACTCCATTGTTATAACAGAGGAGACCATTGACTGTTAATATTAACGGACATAGTCACGCGTATCGCCGCCGTTGAAACTATTTGCCATCCCTTTTGGCTTACATGTGCAGTTTCAAAAGGGTCTTGGGGGCTGGAAAATGTGAAAAAACGTATTTGCATCAGCATACACACATCTGGAACGTAGCTTTGGGCTAAGAGCAAACATTTTGACCATCCTCTAAAGCTGTTTTCAAGAGGTAAGAAGATGCTATATGTTAGCATTGAATAATTCTTATTCCGAGTCCACCGCCATCGGCCCGGAGTGGTATTGCAAGCATGTCAGCGCATGTCATTTTTGAGCCGGGACCCGCCCCCACTGGAAGAGACACTTGAAGCTGTAGCAAGAATTCATCCAAAAAGGTGTTGCTGGGCCATATCTCTGGAATCCACACTGGATCCCAATCCTAATCAGCTCCTCTTACTTCCCGGCGTCACTTGTTGTATAACCAACGATTGCTCAGGTTATTGATACTTAACCACACTGCCCATCAGCTCATTCGCTTTCAACTGTTTATTTTAACCCTCTTGCTTCCCCAGCTCCACCTCAGTCGGCGGTCCCATCCAGTCAGACCACCATTACCAGAGTCCAGGCTCCAAGAAAAAGCTCCTTCTATCTCATACATATAATCTCCGGGGCTTCTGCTGGAGTCTGAACGCCAAAATACATAACTGTTCAATAAATATTTCAAATCTCCCTTTTGTCCGCCTCGCTAGGATGCAATTCTATTTATCTACATGCAGTATTCATGTCCACTATTCGCATCTCTCCAAATAAAATAAGTGTAAAACAAACGGTAAAATGGCATGAATCTAAGAAGAACACGTCCCGCTGTAGTTCCCTGTGATTGTGGCTCTGCTGGATCTGCCCATTAGACACAGTGCTGCATTAAAACAAGGCGCACAGCAGGAGACTGTATTGTGCAGCCGGCAGCAGCAGCATCTGTCACTATGGATACTGACAGATGCCTGGTGCGTTTATGATGTGTCGTTTCACTGCAAATCCATAACATCTCGCCACCAGCGGGTTTAAACTATAAAAGGAAAAAGGTAAGGTATTTCAGGGGACTTTTGATGTGTTTGTGTGGAAGGATTACAGAGCAAAGAGATGGGGAGGAAAAATGTGTTTTTCTGTTTTTAAAATTGGCTCAACGTGTGTTGTATGATATTGTCTTCAAAGTATGAACTGGAATCTGCATTTCATTTTATCACTGCTTAAAGCTGGGATACCTAGGTTTCACACCACATAAAATGGAACTATGAAAAAAAATCCACAATATTAGTTCCTTACTCTGGGATTTGAATTTGGGTCTATAACTACTTTTTACATGCATGTACCTTTGAATGCGCTGGAAACGGAAGTAAGTCCTAGCAGCTCCTGGAATTATTATTATTAATATATTTTTTTATGAATGTGCACTATTGTTAGTTAGTTTGTTTGAAATGTTAGCTATATTTAAAATGTACTTATGTGTTTGTATGGAGGTGTTTTCTGCGGCTGGAGACCTGAATTTCTCCAACGATGGATCAATAAACGATCTATCTACAAACTTCAACACTTATTTTGCTACATAAAAATATGATGTATTGTGTAAATGTCTTCTTTTAATTATAAAATATTCGGTTCCGCAAAAAATTAGAATGTCCACTGGCAGCTTTACTTCAGCTTTGTCTTGGTCTAACTGAGATTAAATATCATATATATATGTTCCAAACAACCTATCAGTTATCAGAAAAACATTCACTTGATTCATTGATGATCAAAATAATCATCAGTTACAGTCCTAATTGTGTGAGAATTGGTGAGAATTGGTAAGTGAAGAAGTTCGTAGAAGAATTGTTGGAATTGTCTATGCATATCTATTTTTCAATTCTAAAATCAAAAGGAAAAAGTCAAAAGATAGAATCTGTGCCGCTCAGAAAGGGCAACCAAAGTTATGTGAAGATTACTGCTCATGCTATTCATTTTCTTCTCAAAGATCTATCATGTGTGACTCCTCGTGAGTCTTTCCCAAACTTTCTGAAAAACGTTGTCTTTCATACAATAAGGGTGTGTGTTTCTGCCTGGGGATCATTAGCCATTTTCTAAAGCACAAAAAGGTCACATATATTTTTCTGCACTGGCTCTTCTGACACCAGTTTTAATTGTAGACCCAGTCCTCCACAGATCTGATAAGAAAACACACACACACATGGATGTGTGCTGAGCTCTAATAGCCGCACTCCTTTATTAAGCCTGTCACATTTGCAAACCTTGATTAATATTTAGAGCTTAGGCCCAGCCTGAGTACACAACATGCACATTAATTATTGCTAACTTCTCCAGGCTCTAAGTTGGAGCTGGAGTCTTCCAAGTTACTCCTCCGTACACTGCACTTTAATTGCTGAATATATTATAGCTCTCTTTGTAACGGGAAGCCAGTGGAGTGAAGCTTTAGTGACACACTTTGTTCATATTTAAGTAAAAATCAATATTTCTTCCAAAAATGTGCTAGTGCTTCAAAAGTTTCCAAATCTAAAGGAATATTTGAAGCTGTTCCAATCTGTATCACTTTGAAACATATGGTTAGAAGTAAAATTTCAAAAGTATAGATTACTTGTTCCACCTCTGACCATCGCAGCAGCATCCGGCTCGAACGGCACATAGGATTTTGAGAGAAAAGAACAAACAAACAAGGCTTACAGGCGGGACGCCTGAACACTACAGCGCTAGAGCCAAAGGTCCAAAAACAAGAGCAGCGGCAGCAGAGTGGAAAGCACAGAAAAACTCCTGGGTGGGGAAACACACATTATAATCCTGGGATCAGAGCAAGGCCAGAGGTAATGCACGCTCTGCACATCAGTGAAAACACCACGTATTGTTTGCCTCGCTATAATAAAGCCCTATAGATTTTTGAACTGCTCGCATTGTGCACAAAGAGAAGTGTGGAGGGCAGCAGAAAAGGTGTACTTACTGGAACTAGAAACTTCTTGATCTCCTCCAGGGCATGGCTCATGCGGGAGTAGGCCTCACCGGGCGGAGCGAAGACTTCAATTAAAACATGAAGGTCGTTATTCAAATGAGAGTATTTGGCCTCGCCGCTTTTCCTCAGCTCCTCCTCCTGCGGACGACAAAGACATGACGTGGGCTGAAAACTTATTTGACAGTGAGGCTGGGTTTGTTTTGGATGTTTCTCTGTTTGGCTCTGTATCACAACACTTTGGTTCTATGACATTCAGCTGCAACTATTGCAAACTGAAGTAAGTCATTGGGCTGCAGGACACTAAAAGACAAAAACAGCTTTTCCATCAACAAATGGTGTTTTAAGGAAATTATATGAAATAATTGAAACCATAATAATAGTAGTTACATTATTTTGAGTCCTTTCTTGGATGAAAGTATACAGCATCAGTGGATTCTCTTATTTAAGAAATATTCAGAGCATGAAATTTATCATATGTTTCTAGTCTTTATGTCAGTTCAAATATGTTGATTAAAAATGTCAGAAATGGTATAAATAATGAATAAATTCCAAATCATCTGGAGAGCACAGGCAAAACTTTGATTGAAGTTTATTTCAAATATTCAGATCTGAATTCCATCTGGCTGGAGCAAACAGGAAGTTACACACACTGCAGCACCTGGAAAAAGATAAACATATGGTCCTCTCAAAACAAGGACATGTGCTGAAAAATAAAAGGAAATACCAAGAAAGTAGAATATATTTGAAGGTAAAAGTGATTCACAATGCAAATCTGAGGCTTTAAAGAACCCACTCTCAGCAACGGATTATCTGGAGGTTGATTACTTTGAAGGAGCCGTATGATATATATGCTCTTATAACATTTGTTGCCAGTTTCCCTGAGTATTAAACGTACACACACACATGCACACGCACACATACACACACACGTGTGTGACCCTATAGTCATGCTGCTGACCGCACCAGCTGAACTTCACCAAAAAAACTGGCAACCTGAATGAGAGACTCCTTCTGCTCTTTGATTTACTTAAGACATTTTAAGTCGTCTTTACTTTTTCATTTCTAATTGACGGATTTACTATTGTTTCATTTTGGCCAAAGCTCATCTTACAGATGTGTTTACAGCTTCCAGTTTATAGCTTTAATTTAGGACTAAACCTGGAATTTGTGTAAGAGCAGTTTCATAGTGTGTGGTGTGAATCCAGCAGGTAGAAGTCAACTAATATATACAAATATATACAAACATAAATATATATGCCTGTCGTAATTCTGCAGTACTGTATGGCAGTAGACTTCAAATACACGTTTTACTTTCTATCCGTCATGACAACATTATAACATGTAATGAAAGAGTTTGGGATAAAGTATGACACAAAAGGGAACACAAAGGGGGCATACAAGTCTGTTCTGTTTGAAGTTGAAAATAGTTCAAGCGGGAGTTTTCCTAAATCATATTCATTATAATAAATTCAGTCCGATACAATAACATTGATCAATGGTCCACACGATGGCCGAGTGCAAAAGCCAACTGTCCTTGTCCATCTGGTGTGTGTCCTTGTTTCCGGGTCAGCAGTGGCCTTTAGAGACCAGTCACACTTAATTAAAATGCTCAACGTCTCTTTCTGGCGATACTTTGTTCAGATGTCAAACCACTGAGGTCACTCTCATAATATGCAGCTAATGACCCAGCCTCACATTAGTCCCATTTCAGTTTGACACATAATATCACATGGGTAAATACAATATCTTTATAATATCTGTGTCTTTTAACACATGTGAGTGTCATAAATGTGTTTTGATTGTATGTAACCATTACGTTGCACGTTTTTGGATAAACGTAAATAACACATGTTGTTTGTTCCAACAGAAATTGTTGTAAATGTAAAATGTGGGGACATATTTATAGAATAACAATCGGTCTTCATTTTATTAGAAAACATGTTATCCTTTGCATACTTATAAGAAAGAGCTTTGTGAGTCACTGACTGTGTGAGGGTCGTCCTTTCTAATTGAATTTTCCGTCTGAAAAAGTTGATCTAATGATGAGACAGAGTCCAAACATGTATCTGAGAAAACTAGTGATGGAAACAAATTGTTGGACCTATATTTTTATTACATTACTTTTATTGCAGTGCAAATATTTGAATAAAGCAACTTTAATAGTTCTGAAAACAAAAAAATACAATTGTTGTTAGATGATGGAATTTGGATTTCGCTTAAGACTTATTAAAAAAAACCCTATGAAGATTTGGGATATATTATTTTATTACATTTTTTATATATACAATACATATATTTCATTATTTCACCTTTATTTAACCGGGAAAGTCCCATTGAGATTAAGAACCTCTTTTTTAAGGGAGTCCCAGACAAAACTTACATACATCTAAACAGCGCCCTGGCTTCTCACAAACATTCCCTGCAGTTTTCTTACATTATATTGCTTTCATTTATTTACTTATTTTAGATACAATTTTAGTAGTACTTTATTTCTTTTAAAGTTTCTGGGTTTCTCCATTTGTCTATTTCACATCTGATTTCTGAAACAAACACTGCCTCTCATAAAGTGTTACCCAAATTGGTGTTAAAAGATGGATAGTTTTCTAGTTTTTTGAGTTGTTGTGCATGGAGTTGAAATCATCATTGAGACACATGTAAAAATAAAAGCTTTGAGCAATTTTGATTTGATTGATTTGATTTTGATTTTATTCATTCAAGCAGAAATTTCACAATCACAAGTATTTACAATATTTACATTCCTTAGTTTACATGATTCTTTATACATGTTGCCTGCTGTACTTACAGTATATACAGTACTTATACATGAAAATATACATGAAAATATATAAACATAACTATACAATCAAGCAAAAGTTGCTCTAGTTTCACCATGTGATGTATAACTACAATATGAATATCAATATGTATTTACAAATGAACCTCTATTTACAATTTGTCAGCTCGAAATGGAGTGGGAAGGAAGTAAAAACTTGTCGACTCCCACCCCATAAACATAATTCAAATAGCAAGAATGTTGTTGTTTAGTATTGAATAAATAATACCTTAATAATAATTTGTTGTGTGTGTGTGTTCAGTGCAATTTAATACTTTAATAAAGCTAAATCTGAAACATTGATCACTGTGCCCCAACAAGGCCCAGCGCCCCAACTCAGGCCAGCTCCAGTCACCAGAAGCAGCCACCACAGCAGTAGACCAATCATGCAGAGGACCACGGTCCAACCCACAGCAGGCTCCAACAACACCATGAGCAGCAGAGGACCATGGTCCAACCCACAGCAGGCTCCAACAACACCATGAGCAGCAGAGGACCATGGTCCAACCCACAGCAGGCTCCAACAACACCATGAGCAGCAGAGGACCATGCTCCAACCCACAGCAGGCTCCAACAACACCATGAGCAGCAGAGGACCACGGTCCAACACACAGCAGGCTCCAACAACACCATGAGCAGCAGAGGACCATGGTCCAACCCACAGCAGGCTCCAACAACACCATGAGCAGCAGAGGACCATGGTCCAACCCACAGCAGGCTCCAACAACACCATGAGCAGCAGAGGACCACGGTCCAACCCACAGCAGGCTCCAACAACACCATGAGCAACCACCTCACTGGTCATTCAAATCATTGTTTTGTTCTTTCAGATGAAAAGGAATTTAATCACTTCTTACAAAGTGTCTTTACCTTTGATAGAGCCGATTATCACCACCGTGACTGTCCTAGCTCCACTTTCAGGCCGAAGATACTTTCTTTAATTTTTGCTCTTTTAATATATATATATATATATATATATATATATATTTATGTATTTTTTTATTTTTATTCTTATTTTGTTTTTACTCTTTTGTGTGTCCAAAATTTCGTCCCGCCCCCTTTTAGCAAACCAGATTGTCTGTAGCCAATCAGTTCTTACCGGGGTCAATTACTCAAATAAATAAATGTCTTATGATTCCTGCTTCTTTTGCAACACGCAGCTCTACCTGTCCAGTGTGAGTAATCTTGTCCATCGACTGGTTGGACATGAGTGGGTGGAGGAGTAGTTGCCATGGTGAAGAGTATGAGCGGGAAAACTGTGGAGTGTGTCTGTATGAGGCCTGTCTGTAACACTTTAGCCAGGGGCGCGCTGTCTCCGGTGGCAGCCAGCTTTTCAGCGGTGACCTTTAGGTGCCACTCTCATCTCAGAGTCCTCCAGACCAAACCCAAACTGTACACAAAATCAATACTTCACACACAGAAGCCAAGTCTAATCTGATTGTACCACAGGCAGCCTTTTCACAGCGGCTCAGAACAGCTCGCACTACTCCACATGAAACTCGGATAGATAAAAGCTGTAGCAAGGGAGTGAACGTATAACGGCAGAGTTCTTACTAGTATTTGTCAGAGACCTTTTTATTGAAAAGTCCCACTGAAAAGAGCCATCCGTGGAAAACTATGTGTAGGGATAGAGAATCAAATCCAGAGCTCAGTGAGTAAAATTTCTTAGATAAAAGAGCTCTCCAGTGCTACCCATGCCAAAGAAATAATAGAAATCCAAAAAGCTCTGGACAAGGAAAACTCAAAGGAACTCTTTTATAAAATGAAAACAGGAGCATTTGACACATACAAAATTGTCTTTTCAAGTATGCCTATAGTTGCAGAAAATGTATCAATAGTGAAAGTTCATTATTATCATAATTATGCATAATTATCATTCCTCACTTCTGTCCCAGCCTTCTCTTCACAGCACTAACGGTGTCGTCATCGGCCTGGTTCAATATCATGTCCCTGTAGCCTCTTCATATCATCTTACCACACTTCTGCAAACAAGTTCAACAGCTGCATCTCACTGAAATCAGATTTCAAGTGAACTCAACTTTCCTCCTGTTCATTATCCTCCTCAGTAGCGTCATGATCTCGTCTGGGTTTATCCACTTCTTCAGCAGTTTTAGACGGGGGAATTGAGATTTCAGGACAGGGTCATTCTTTGTCAGGCTCTCTAGCCAGTGTAGATTCATGCAAATAACCTTTTTTGTCCAAAAACTCTAACTAGAGTCAGATTAAACTTGTTTAATCTGTTTTTTCCTACAGGATTAAAGTTTTTGAATGTTATTGTCCTGCTTATTTCTGTTTGTAATGTAACATATACTATGTGAAATAACCACAAGATATGTTCTTTATGTGTTTGGGGGTTTTAAAATAATGTCATGCCTGCCCAGGTGATAGCACTTGTGCTTCACAGCAAGAAGGTCCTGGGTTCGGTTCCACCTCCAGGGCCTATCAGTGTGGAGATTTCATGTTCTCCCCCTGTCTGCGCTTCCTCTGGGTACTCCGAATGAATCAGTGGGTGTTTGTTAGTTCGACTGTGGGACTACTGACGTTCATTAATACCCATTGTCATACAGTACAACCTCATTACCAGGGGATCTGGCTGGGTCCAAAAATTCAACCCTGCCAGATCCCCTGGTACTGCAAGGAAAGGAGGTTCCAGTCGTCACCACCACAAAATACTTGGGCTTCCATCTGGATTCTGGCTGGCTTTGACATCTGCCAAAGGGTCTACCGATGAAAATTTGCTTTTCTGCTAACTCGGGCATATTTACATTGTAAAATGTTGATTAATGTGCACTGTCCCTTTTCAAATAAAATAAATCTTAAATTCGGATCTGAGTGGAGATGGTGAAGTGCCTCCACTTCCTCACGGTCCTTAAAAGACATGGTCTACCACAGCCAGACCTGCTGACCATCTACTCCCCACTGGTGAGGCCGTGTCTGGAGTATGGGAGTGTCCTTCTGGTGGGCTGTGATACAAATCAAGCAACACAGTTGCCACAGGACAACTGCCATCAGTGCAGAGCAGGAGAGAGGAGGCCGCAGTGAACTTGGTCACCAACATGGGTCACAGTGAGCACCCACTACATGAGCTCCTCCCCAAGACCAGAGGACAGAGCTCACAGAGGCATTTGAGGAACAAGGACAACTGTCTTATTCTCATCATTAGACAAAGGTTTCACTCCCTCAGAGGACTTAAGATCACTTTACTGGTTCCTCTAGTGGAATTGACAGATCAAATGCAGAGGAGAAAATTATCCAAGGGGACAATTAAGTATACTTTAACCATAATTCTGTATAAATGATTCTAAATAGTTTTATTCATATCATGAAAAACACTCAAAGATGCCACTAAAATTAACTAAACTTACAGGACTACAGTACAATACAACATTACTGAATGGAAAAAAGCAATTAAGCAAATACTGTGATAGAAAATTCACTTTTGAATGAGCATTCAGAATGTTTAATTGGCAGAGTTTGTTAATTTGTTGTAATTCTGCGTCTGCAATAATGTATTTCAATGGTCTGCCTCTAACAGAGCATATTTCTCAGTTTCTTATTCAGCTCCACACTTTCAACATAAATTAACACAGCACATGAGCAAACAGAAGTGACTGTAGTGGATAAGAGCCAATGTTTTAAATGAACTACTGCATCAGCCAAAGCACCCTCACGTTATGAAGCGAGTGCAGGCCCCAGTCTCACCGCTGTACAGTCCATGGACCAAACAGACAAACTCAATGCCTTTGCAACCAGCTGAAGCTTACAGAGTTCTCCACTATTTAATTACTTTTCAATTAACTTTATTTTTCCATTTTATAGTTCAGTGGAAAACTTACTCATCCAAAAAATTGCTTTTACAGTAAGTATAATTGATGCAAAAGTGTAAAACAACTTCAAACGTGCTGTTTTTCATAATTCCTGGAAGCAATCACAGGAAGACCAATTACATAACACATTAAGACGCAAAAATGTCCTGTTAAATGGTTGTCTTGGTTAAAGGATATGGCACAAAATGGACTTTTAAGTGCTTTTAACTATGTTACACTTGTGCCTCATTACCTGATCATCAACAGCAATGCGCAGCACGAAAACAGCATCATTTTCACCACTCTCAGTGAAGTCAGAAATGTTATATGCTTGGCTCAACTGACATTATTCAATTGTATATATCACTCAGGTATAAACTACAAGCAAAGCTGTACAAAATATCTTCTTTTAAAATATGAATGGCAACAGCAGCCATCCTCTGCATGAGCTCTATACTATATCATCATGTATGGGAGGAGGGGTAGGGTAAATAATAGTATAATTATAGTAATTGGTATTAATAATAACACTATGAATTGCATTTTACTCATAGCGATTAGTGCACTTTATTTTTTCTATCTTTTCCTTGATGATTTTTTTGACAGCTGAGACTGAATTTCCCTTGAAAATGATAAAATATTTCAGAATTTCTTCCAACATGGTTTCTCTACAAGTGTAACTAGTATTCCTTTGCTTACTGCCCTCTGTCACATATCTCACAAGTATGTATTGTGGCTCGGCTCTCAGAGTAATAAAATACAGTTGGTACTCCAGCAAAGACGAGGTAACCCTGTAGGTCTTGTAGTGATGTCTCAATAAGAGATGTAATAATGGTCACATAACTCAATAGTCAATGCACTGTTTGTCCAACGTGGTGCTGCTGGCCCTGTGTGTACAAGCTCCAGATAAGTGTGGCTCAGGGGAAACACAAGTCATTGCGATAAATGATTCATTATGCTGTATTCATAATTGACTTTTACAGAATGCACTATTAAGATACACCCTGTGAGCCTTTTCTATTCTCCTACGTGTCAGGTCTTAAGAACGGATAAATAATGCCTGATAACGGCTTCATCTCAGGCCAAACACAGCCAGACAGAACCAGGTTTGTTTTCATCAGTGATGCAAGGAAACTGCGGCTCACTGGTCATCAATCATTTACAGCAAAATCAAACTACTTTCACCTCAGTTTAACAGCTTTCATAGCCTCTATTACAGAAGTCTCAAATGTTTTTCAGTCTTTCAGTAATTTCCTCATTGCTCTTTTATTATTTACTTGCTGACTTCCGGGTTTGTTTGTTACAAACTCGAGGAGACATGACCAGGACTAGACACGTCAGTGTGTAGTTTACCTGTTGGGACGTTTGTCCTCTGCAAGCGCCCTGTCTTCCAACGCCTTCCAAAGGCTTGAATCAAGCATGTTGTTTATGCACCAATGTTATTTTTGGTTGTCCCAGAAAGAAAGAAAAAAAAGCCGTCTTCATTTACAACATTCCTCTTCAGTAAACAACGTAAAAATATGCATTCAATAAAGTTGTAGTCAGCAACATTTTCCATTCATCACCGAAACACACTGCTCTGGATGTCAAGCGGAAGCCACAACTTTGGTCTTATTTATCGAAGTTAGGGCTCTATACTCTCCTGGTAGTTCTCCACACACTGCTGGAATTTCAAGCAGCCAGTTTCTGTAAATATTTTGATTTAATCACAACCTCTGGGCAAGATCTATGAGAGCAGTACCTTTTCTTTATCCCTCATGGAGCCTTTGCCGAGGATGGACATCTTCACTCCCGTCTCCTCTTGTAATCGCTTCATGGAATTTCCCCGTGGTCCAAGCAGCTTCCCCACAAAATTAAACTATAACACAGACAGAAAAAGCAATGAGAAAACTACCCCAGAAATGTGGAAAAAACTTGATTTACAGCAGAAATATGGAAATGCAATCCTTTCTGACACGTGCAGGTTATTAGTCATGTATTATCAATATCATCTCATATTGCCTTCATACATCATGTGGAGAAAAGCAGACAGCGATGAATCAATACAATTCCTCATGCTGTGCGGCGCATGAAAGGTGAATAGGACTCAGAGATTAAAATATACATCCATTCTTTACGCCACCTCCTCCTCATGTATCTTATTGCAGTCTAGGGAGATCCCGGTCCTGTCGGCTAAAGGAGAAACAAACCAGTAGTGTTTGAGAGAGCGCACAGAGGTCAATGTTGCGATAATGTCAGAAATAATGAGTTTCCACCCAAAGGGAAATGAAGTCGAACTTTTCACATGACAAATGATCAGAATCAAGCCCCTTGGCATGAACCATCACTTCACTTTCTCACTGAGCACTCAAATTTCTCTCTTGAATAACTGATAGCCTTAAAACTCCGGACGACAATACTTTCTTGATATAAATAAAAAAGTAGTGTTGGGGAGTAATGGAATATATGTACCGGAACATGTATTCTATGTATGTACAGTATATTATTGTTTTTTTACTGGTATGTGTGGGTCTGTTTTACCTTTTGAAAATAATACGAATGAAAAAGGTATTTAAAAAGTAACAAAAAAACTTTTCATCGTTACACTATACTATCACAGAAATTAGAGAGAAAGTCGTCCAACTATTCAGATGTACTCTGATAAGACTATCAACACTTACTTTACACAACACATTTTAATGCATGTATTCCGTATACATCTGGGTTTTAGTGTTCTACCCAACACTGATTACAATCTTAATCAAATATATATATACAGTATATATTATAATCCAAGAATACTTTATATTTACGAAACCATATATATCTTCTGTCTTTTGCTTTGAAAGAAATACAAACTACACTGTTGTGACACACAGCGCCAAAGTATATTCTTCAGATGTAATGGAAGGCAGACATCCAAGGGTTGTAAAGAAGAGATGTAAAGAAGAAATGTCATCTCTTTATAAAATGAATATCAGAGTTTATTCAAAGTGATATTATATTATGTCTTACACTCAGTGCTACTTTAAAGTCCTGGATCTTAAATGCGCTCGACCTTCAATGCGCTCGACCTTCAAACGTCCAGGCGACTAGACGAAGACAGACCCCCTCCTGATCTGAGCAGGTGGTCAGTCCGTCACCACAACTTAGTTTAGCCAAAATGATATTAACCTCTCCCACATCCCCTCGCGCAGAAGCCACTCATAATTCCTCTGCCAGATGTGGGACCAGCAGACTGCAGTGTCAGCGCTTCCTGTGCCATCATTACCATCACAAGTGAACGCTACTCTTCAGGTTAGAGTGACGCCGAGGGAGGGCCGGATGGATTCAGTGCGAAGAGGCATCCCCACTGTCCTTGTGTGTGACTGATTAAGGCACCTTGTGGATGGCTGCTCTGAAAGGATGGTCCTATAGCTGGCAGGGAGCTGGAGAGCAGATGGTACCAGCCGAGACGGGCTGCTGTGAGGAAGAGGAAGAGTGGCCCGGTTAAATTAGTCTAATGAATGTCAGGAGGCAGACAGCAGACACGGGAAATTTGGACATGAAGAAGGCCATGGCTGGTGTTAAATGAGTGGTGAAATGATGTGCGCTGCACCCTACTGGGTCCACTTTTGTATCAAGAGAGAAGGGGAAAAGCCAATTCATTTCAGGTGCAGAGTAACTGGATGGTCCGATTTTTAAGTCTATTGTGTAACTATTGTGGCAGTATTTAAACCAGGGGTGCCCAAACCTTTTGCTTCCAAGGGCCAAAGTAAAAATTTGCCAGTGGGCCGCGGGCCAAATACACCGATATTATGCATGAAACACAAATAAATGTAGATTTGATCAAGTTCTTTTAAATGCATTAATTATTGTCTATCAGTGCAAATCACAGCTGAATGAATGAAATCAACACAGTCTTAGTGAAGTGGAGGCTCCAGGGAAATATGCAGGTTTGAGGAGACTACAGTACGGAAAGATTCCGGCCGGGTAATCAGGGTCCAGAGGAGGGAGATTTTCTGTCATGGCTTATTTAAAGGTTAAAATCATATAATAAAACCTCAAGAGAACAGAAACATACATTTTGTGTGCACCATGTGCACTTGTATATTGTAAATAGTAACTGTAACTCTATTTTAAATTTAAATTTATTCCTTAGAAGTGTTTTTTATTCTTTATTTTTATTATCTCTGTTGCACTGAGCCAAAGCAATTTCCAAGTCTATTTTCATATATTTATTTTGAACAATACTTTTTAACTACATTGGAATCATATTACTTTATCTTAGCTTTTATCAAAAAGGGGAGACATCACTGATCAATAGATCTGGTTTTAGCACACTTTTAAACAATACATTTTAACATTAAGTAATGAATTTAGGAACATAATTGCTAACTGCATTTTCTAAACATGACCAGGTTTTAACTCTGTTTTAACTTAATATTTTTAACATAGGGCAAGTATTCTCAATTAGTAGTGAACTGAATATTAAACTAACAAAATCAGACTAGTTAACCATGATTTGTTCCTGGAGTTTTGTTTTGTTTTGCCTAAACACAGTACAACATTTATAAACAATCAAAACAAAGTAACTGTTAAAGAGTCCGAGTTTCCGCTCCTCCAAAGGGCTCTTGAACGCATCATAAAACTCTGCGTAAGTTCTGACATTCAATGATCGCGAGTGAGGACGGCGCTTACCGGCTTCTTTCATGGGGTTGTAGAAGGGTTTGTTTTGCACAGTATTTGTTGCTTCTACTTGCTTGGATCGTGCGCTGCGATCCCTGCTTGTCCTGCTTGAACTCACTCTGAAGTGTTTGTGTTCGTCCTTTTTAACACACCGGGTGGGTGCGGATTGCGCAGGTGAATAGTTCCACTCGCCATTTCCCTCCGGTGAGGAGGGGGAGTGGCAGTTCGGCAGCACAATCCTCTCAATTTGATAAAACATTAAATAGCTCCAAAAAATAATAATAGTAGGCTGAAAAAAAGAACATAAAGGTGCCTTGCACCCAATTGTTTTGAAAGATGTGTTTGATTTTAAAAAACATTTTAGTGCAAGTTGATGTGAACCATGAGTGAGGAGTGTATCTCGATACAACAGTTAAGTACAGGACAGTTGGAGATCGGAGGGCGGCTATGCGCCCGCGCGACCTCAGACATGTCACTATTTGTTCAGCGAGGCTGAGGGACGCAGATAGAGACTTATAGCGGAGGTGGGCAATGTTAGGCGGGCCAATTGAAATGGTCTGGCGGGCCAACTTTGGCCCACGGGCCCCACTTTGGGCACCCCTGATTTAAACACTATTGCAAATCCCACAAACAAAACATATTAAGTTCATTTTTTTAATTATATGTGCTTATCACACAAGCCAAACCCACACAACTTAAATTGTATATATTTTTATACTGTCAATGGCGTCCTCTGGTTTGAACAGTAGACATAAATCTATTATTCTTTTTTTTTATTATTATTTGGACTCCATTTCTTAGGGATGGGAAGCACATTTATTTTCAAAATAGATTGTGTGTGCGTGTGTGTGTCTGCATGTGCACATGAGAGAGAAAGAGAGAGAGAGAGGTAATAAACATTGTACAAGAGGTAATAAACATTGTGCAATATAGTCCCATAAATAAACCCGGATTTATCCCAATGCGCATCCAAAGTGCAGTGCCCTGGGACTTATCTCGAGAGCAAAATGTTTGTTCATAAAAAAAAGCTAGGATTAGCGTATTACATCAAGACATTATGAATCTACAAAAACAAACTTTTAGGCGATGGAGGTCAGTAAGTTGAACACCCCTGAAGCAGGAGTGAACAGCACTTTGAGAGGAACCTGTCATTGTCGAGCGGGCGATGGTTAAGGTGACATTAAAACGTCCTCTCACTTGTCACACTCGGTTTGAGCTTCTGTCACAAATAGCAACAAAGCACTTTCACTGCTTTCAAAAGCCCTATATCTGACTTGTGTGCACAAAAAAGGCAAAGACAGATTTGCATTGCTTTTTTTCAGGATTCGTCTATTTATCCACATCACATAAACAGTATTTAGTTAACAGTGTTTGCCTCGGACGTAACATTTCTATATCCATCACTCTGAGTTATAGGCTGCAGTCTCTCATCAGCGCATTCCAATTTGTCCACTGGACTGGTTTTCTACTGGAACATATGCAAACTGTGATGCCAAGAAAATTACTCATACGTCTTTAGACACTGCAGATACGTGCCTGGATTGGATTCAATTCTATGGAGCCTAAAGGGTTAACAAGCCTTGGTTAAAAAGACTACTTCTTCAGGGCTTAAAGGCAGGTCATTACGACCTAGCCCCTAGTTTAATTTTTGTTGCGCTCCAATCATGTATTAAACCCTGAGCACTTTGCAGACAGTCTTAGGGGGAGTGTATTGGCTCTCACCTCCGCTTGTAATCTTAAGGTTATGAAATGAAGCCTGGTCATGGATGGTCAGCTCAGAAGCATTATGTGTGTTTTGATGTGAGATTTGTTCTGTGCTCTGTCATTGAAAGCGCTTCATGGTCAGCTGAATGGGTCCATGTCCAGAGGCGATGACTGACACATTAGAGGCTCTGCACAGAGGAAATCCCACTCCGTCGCTCTGATAGACGGATTAAAGCCACAGGTGCAGCTTTACCATTTAAAGAGGTTAGGGATGGCTGACCGTGACTGCCCGCTGTATATGAGCTGCGATCTGGACTGAGCCCCTGAGAGATAAAACTAAGTATATTTACGGTAGTGCTATGAACTTTTCCGATTCACAGCTGAAACTACACTGGGAAGATTCACACTCATGTCTTCGATACTGGTCCTTTTTATCTGGCATCCATTTCTACAGTAGAAAGAGCAAAGATTTTGTGGTTTGTTTAGATACATAGATAGATATCCCCCGATATTGATCCCCGTAGGAGATCAATATCAGAAATTCAGGAGTAGCAGCAAAAACTTATTTATCCAGACAAAACCAATAAATTGATTATTCTAAAAAGCAAACAATTGTAATAATGAAATGCAACAGCACTTCAGGTCACTTCAGTCTATTTCATTGAGGGATTTATTTTGAACAAAAGAAGAAAGAAAAATCCATATATTCATAGACGCAACAGTAATACAACAGTTGTATGTCATTATTAATTCACTCCATACACAGTGGTGTCCCTGGGGCACACTGATAAAAGCAAGGCAACCAGTATGTGCCATCAACCCCTACGACCACCCCCAATCATTCACGCAGACACAAGATTCATTCTAGAAACTATAAGTGAAATGTCTAGCCCCAGGACACAACCACAGTTTGGCACTTTACAGCCGCAGTTACCCCACTGTGGAATTTGGTGTTCCCAGAGGTCTCCCATCACAGTACTAGCCAGACCCTGCACTGCTTAGCTTCAGAGATCTGATATCTATTGAGACTGATCCCCAAAATATATTAGCGATTCAAGTTATCTTATCAAAAACGTTGTCTTATGTTGACTATATATTTTTATTCTCTAGCAGCGCATCATCTATTTCCTAATAATTATCATAAATGAATATTACAAAACACTATCACATTACATGTAGTCTGGCACATGCACATTTTAGCAAGCCGGGTTTTCTGAAGGCCTAGTTTTTTACAGAAGACAAAGCAAGCAGCAAATACAACAAACATTACAAATTCAAAACGTTTCCAACTGCAACGTGTTGAGCCAAAATCAATAGAAACGTGCCATGAGTGATGCCAGGATGACACGGCACAACAAAAGCTGCTTAAGTCCATGAAACACTTCCAGACAGGCTGCACTGTGCTGCCGGAGCAGAGCAGAAATCAATTTATACAAGGCTCTAACAAGTCCACTCCCTGAGAGACATGTAACCAATACAAGTTTGTGTGCATTTGAATGCTCCTGCAAATCGAATAGAGAAAGTCTTTCACAGAGAGAGAGGTACTCCAGAACTATGTTTCTCTGCAAACCATGCAGGCTCTTTACTACAATGACATCAAAGACATAAACATCAAATGGAACTGGTGGCATAGGACTGGTGCTTGTTTATAAAGCTACAGGAGATATTTTACACTCCAAAGTTGGCTTAACCAGGCTTGGTGTTGGATATTTATTTGTCTTGTTTTAGCATTTTATTAATTCTGGAATTGAGAGCTACAGTAGTTGTCACACACACACACACACACACACACACATACACGTTTTTGTTACCTGGTGGGTCCCTTTGACAGGGCCGTTCAGAATGGGACCCATAGACATAATCTTTTTTTACCAAGACTTTAAGTAATACAAAACAGTCAAT